CTCTACATGATGCACAGGTATATAGCCCAAGCCTCTTTATAACAAATTAATTGAAAAAAGTTAGTCTGTTTGTCTCGCCTAAGGGCTATTTTAGCAATCAGAGTGGAAAAGGGTGCTTTGGTTCTGCGCACTCATTTATGGGATCAGTGGAAAAATATTTATATGTTTCATATGGAATAAGGAATAGAATTACATGCAGACCTCAGACAAAAAGCAAAGTTGTCCCTGACTGTGAACTAACCATTAGGGAGACGTATGTTGTAGCTGTGTTGGGGTTGAAAGCTAAGAGGAAGAATGGAGTGAGACTATTCAAATGCCCTAGTTTGGGAAAATACCACTGGAATGTAACATGTATTGAAAGAACCAGCCACAGTTCCAATACTTGTGAAATTCTATTTTGTTTGCTTCATCCAATTGCCAAGCTGTCAGAACACAGCAAATAAGGTGTGTGCTGTAGGAACTCAGGCTTTCAAGAGAATGTTTATGCTCTCAGCTGCTGGTAGTACCATAAAGCAAGGTAACTCGAGAAGTTTTGATGTTCACAGTGTCAGATAATATTTAGGTAAATTAATAATGAATGTCTTCAGACATTTTGTGGAGTTGGGGAGGAAAGAATATAAATATGCCTTCTAAATATAAGTGTACATTGGATTTGAACAAAGGCATCTGAAAGGCATATTGTTTTCGTACTGGAATGGACATGGTTCCATAAGGGTCTTATTTTCCAATTACAAATTTTCATTGCTGCTGTGGACTATTCTGAGAATGGTTATTCTGCGATTATTGGAACTGATTCCATGATAAAAGTTAAAGCAAATCTATTTCCTTTAACTAATTTATTATATTTAACGATTTAAAGGCTATGTCACTGTAAATCATTCTGCTGTGTAGAAGCATATATGAAGCCAAAACAGCCAAAATTTAAGCGATGTGTGATAAACAATGCAATATATGAATCAAGAACGTATCCCGTATGCATGTGTCATGCCAGTCCTTAAGAAAATACCACTTCTGACTTCATCATAGATAAATTATTTAATTCAGTCCCATTCACAGATGTCCTCAAGGAGATTCTTAGCCAGAATCCTGGGGCATTTATATACAGAATAAATGAAGAAAATAAGTCAAGAAAAATAAATTATACATTGTTTTCTGATAATGATAAACATATTTCCAGAAAAAGCAAAGAAGCTAGGGTATGATACAGAATGAGTAGGAAGAAATGCAAGTGAAATTTGCAAAATACCTATGTAAATTAGAATTAATGTACTTAAAAGATTCAGTTTAACAAGAATCAGCAAGTGGGCTGCTTTGAGAAACAGATTATGATTTGAATATTAATTCTTAAGGACATAAATAATCTGGAAGAATTTAGATTTTATATTTTTATGCACATCTTAACACTGTAACTCACAAACAAATTACTACAGGAACAAGTTTCCATGCTGTGCTTGTGTTCAGGTGTCTGTCTAGGTGCATGGCGTAATTCTGTACCACTTCAGAGTAAATGTAAGATAGCTTATCCTTTCTTTTACTGAAGGATAACCTACTTAAAATAAATTTGCATTTACTGTGGGGTTAAGGGGAAGCTAGTTGGAGCTTACTGTGTTTGTAGTCATTTCATATTTTTAGACCAAAGAACTTTCTTGAAAGAGGGTGGTACTGAACGATAAGACCTTCATTAACTTATCCAGATAATGATCTGTTTTTAAGTAATTCAGTGAAGTAGGACATATTGAAAGGATTCCACAATCAATTTCAAAAACAGTCACTGTTTGACAAACTCCAATGATAAGAATAGGAAACTATAGGAAAAGGAGCCTGAACAATTGTTACTTGTAACACATGAAGTCTTTCAATATTAAAGAAATGTCTATGCTTTGAGTCGTCTTAATGGTATGACATCCTGATGCCTTTCCATTACAACCATTACAAATTTCAGGAGCTGACAGCTTGAAAATCTTACTGGAGGGAGAAGCACACTTAAGACAGATGAAACAGTATAAGTCTTCTGGACTTAGTCCTGAGAAAAGTAAAAGCTATCTGGCTTGTGAGTGTTGTAAAACATTTTTCAAGTGTTATGTTCTTCCAGGATACATGTGTAAATTGTTTGAGACGGAATGCAAAGAACAATTCATATAGAGCTTAGCGAACAGCCATAGGGTTGTAGAAGAGGCAAGAGCTAAAGGACATGTTGTACAGATGGCACAGTGTCAGGAGCAGAACAAAGGTACACGTGGTTTGCAGGGATGGTGCGCAGGGCAGGTGCTCGCTTTTGTAAGCATCTGGTTCCAGCATTCCATGGCAAGTCTTGGATTCCATTAAATCAGTGACAGAGCCTCTGGTGATTCCCAAGACTTCACTGTCTTGCTCATTTGTGTGCTTTAATGGGCATCCATTTGAGTCCTGGACAATGCTCAAGTGCTTATTTCTAAATGCTTTCTCCTAATCCTTTTGCTTCTTCACCAAATTAATAGAAACCTCTATATTCATATTTTCCAAGGCCAAAGTGCTTTTTTTATGAGAAAGTATTTAAACAGAACACCTACTTGATAAGCCACTTCCACAGATTTCCTAATAGCTGTTAGCATAGACTTGTCTTAGGGAAGTAGCCAAGGTTCAGCTGGTTTGCTTGAAGTGACAATAATCTAGCTGTCTACTTGATGTAATTTTCATAATGTATTATAAATGCTATTAACATTCCTTTTGAACAAAAATTCAAACATGGTATTTTTCAGCTGTGATATTTATTTTCTATATTTCTGTATATCCAGAACAAACATTTCACATTTCATTTCCATTTTTTCTGCTCAATTATTCTGTATAAATATTAATACAGTGTTTAATGAACGACTCAGGAACTTGTACTGATGTGCCAATACCAAAAAATGACATGAAGGGAGAAACAGTGCAGAAGAAGGGGTTAAAAACATCTGTATATATGTTTTTCATAGAACATTTTCTAAAATTTTGAAAATAGTAGTCTAAGGCAATGAAACCACCTTTTGGTACACAGCTGTTAACCTTTCAGTGACCATCCTAGCTGTTTATATGTTGTGTCCAGTGAGTGAATGAAAGGGACACATTTTTCATCACATTAAACTTAATTCCCCTCTGCAGGCATAGATGAAAAAGCCAGAGCAGTTTCCATGTCGAAACTTGTCCGGCAACATCCTGGTCGCTGGAACCTCGCTATGTGCCTGTGTCATCAGCTGCCCCCCGGCTGCTGAAAAGGGCTCTCTTTTTGTTGCAGGTGTCTGGTATTTTTCCTTTTCCTTTAAGGAATCGCTTTTAGAAACAACAACACAATGCTGCTTATTGCTAGTTATCAGACAGCATCAGTGTCAGAAAAGATCTTCCCATCCTAAGCCATGTCTTTTGCTAGGAATCCTCTCTGAAGGTGTCTCCACCTCCCTCATACACACGCACACCCCTCTGCTCCCCCCCCCCCCCCATCGCCTTTTTTGCAACCTGTGCCCCACTAGGTTACTACCCACAGGATGGTTTCAGGAGCTTTTTTCTTTCTTTTTTCTTTTCCTTTCCTTCTTTCTTTTTCTTCCTCTTCTGGCCTCCGCTTGCCATAGCATACACCCTCCCGAGGGGTTTGCCTGGATCATTTATTTATCTTGTGCGCATTAAGAAACCACCATTAGGCTTTGGTGGGAGGCGCCTGGCTCCGTGCGCGCTGCCTGCCTGCACCGCGGCAGCAATACACGAGCGGAGCGACGCTGCGAGCCGGGCTCTTCGCCGG